GAAAAGGGGATTGGAAATAGTTTACAGTGAGAGTCAGCGTCCATTTTACATTATTTTTACAATGGGTACCTAAAACAGAGAGGAATGTGTAGCACCAACGTCTGTTACGTTATGATAAAGATCGCCGCCCTCGGAGAGGCTGCGCGGAAGACTGTGAGGTGTAATGGAGGCAGAGCGACGAGGAAGCGGGCAGACAATCTCTCCAGAAGCGGGGACGGAACACAAAGACCACGAGTGACAGTGACCCTTTTTCGGTGAGTTAATCAATGCGGTAAAAATCACGAATGCAAGGATGCGAACTGGCTGTCCGCATGCGAGTGCATTTACAAGTATACTCACGGAATAGATACGTACACCAACAAATACAGTCACACTTATATATCTGTACACTTAATATCGAAAGTTCAGAGAGTATAAAAATATATTGATGTCAGGTTATAAAGCCCTCGTGGAGACCTCCTTTGCCTGGACGAAGTGTAGGAAGCAAATACTGCAGTGGATGACTGTGAACACTCTTTGGTGGTAGACACCTGCAGACACTAAGGTACCCAATATGCTTTACTCCTGTGTAATCATTCACATTGCGCTCTGTTCCCAAGTCCCTTTGCCGGTTGCGTTCCGAAGTGTGCCTTTCTTGCCTGGTGGAAGTGAAAAGGCCAAGCTTCTTTTCGTTCAGGAGCCGAATATCCGAACATGGATCGTGGTCTATGTTGGAATCGGCCACCGTGCTTATGACACGCTGCTGCAGCCATGAGGGTGTCGAGGCGTAGGGCGCTGTGTTTTGCTTCCTCCGACGAGAGAAAGTGAACAAGATATGGACCTTTTTCATCTATATATATATATATACGTATATACAAGGGGAAGGGCAAGCGACCTGGGAACAACGGTATGGCAGACCAGGTCACAGCACAGGTCAGGCGAGGTTGACGAATGGCTCCGAGTCGCGTCACTGACTCGCAGGAACTCTGGAGGCTTTGGAGGAGGACTCAGAGGCTCCTGGCCCCCCTCCCCCTCCCCCAGGCCTCTCGTGACGTCAGGAGAGCGACGGCCTCGCGCCCTCGGCGCCCCTGCAGAGGGCGGCTCCCGCAGACGGAGCCGCTGCAGCGACGCCCGATTCATAGGCTAGATATCACACGGGGAGCGCGGCGCGCAGGCGGCCTCAGAGGGTGGCGTGGTGCAGGTGCCGCAGGGGCAGCGCCGCGCCGTCGTCGAAGGGCGGCAGCCACGGCGACGCCTTCGCGGGGAGGTCAGACGGCCACAGCGGCAGCTCGCCTGACTCCACGGACGGCACCCGCTGGTCGCGCCCCACGCCCATGTCGCGCGGGTCGCTCTGCTCGAAGGAGAAGACGTGGTGCTTGGTGGGCGTGGCGGCCGAGTAGGGCGGCGTGATGTAGGGCGAGTACTCGGGGTAGTCGGGGACCTCCTGCGTCGGCGACGCCTTCCACGGCGCCTCCAGCTGGTCCAGCTCGGGCGACGAGGCGCCCTTGTGCACGCCGGCCGGGGCCGCCCGCACCGCCACGGGCGTCGCCACCGCCACGCCGCCGCCCTCGGAGATACCGTGGGCAGACTGGGGAGTCGAGGGCGACCTTCGAGGCGACGAGTTGGGCGAGGCGCTCTTCTTGCTCGGCCTGGGCGTGTGCACGGGCGTGGGCGTGGCGGGCGCGACGTGCTGTGTGGCGGGCTGGTCGGAGGGCGCGGCGGCGGCGGCGGCGTCGTAGTAGCCCCAGGCGGGGTCGCGCGAGTAGTCGAGGCCGTGCTGGAGGCGGACGGAGTAGTGGTGGTGGTAGTGCTGCAGGTGGGCGTAGGCGGAGGGCGAGGCCAGCGAGTAGGGCGAGTGGGCGGCGGGCGCGTGTGTGTGAGAATGGGCGTGGCTCCCGTTGAGGGCCGTGGCCGGCATGTACGAGGAGGCGGCGTCGGTCTGTAAGGCGGAGAGAGATCATGAGCCTAGAGCCTCGACAAAGTCACGGGCGTCTCGCTTCGCGAGCGAAGCCTCGAGCGAGCGACAAAGGAAGCCTCAGTGGACAAACCAGGACGAAACCCTTACCTGATAGGTCATGACCTGCGGGTAGTAGGCGTGGACGCGGTGCGCGTGCGTGTCGTAGGCGAGGCCGTACTGCAGCTTAGACTGCATCGTGTAGTAGTGGTAGAGCCACGAGTTGGCGCGCAGGACGGCCGCCTCCTTCTCGCCCAGGACCTGGTTCGTCGCCACGATCACCGGCTGCTGGCTCTGCCCGCCGCCGCCGCCGCCGCCGCCGCTGCTGCTGCTGCTGCCGTTGACGGTACTGCTGGTGCCTTGCTGGTTCTGCTGAGAGTTCTGCTGAGCCTGCTGACCCGACTCTATTCCGTCCTTGACTTGGAGGACGCAGTGGACCCACCGCCACGTCCCTCCGGCCGCTTGTAGGCGCAGCAGAAGGATGCACGAGCGATCCTGCTCACTGGCTGTGACTGCAAAGTTCATGCAGGGTTTGAATAAAATGTTATGGCGGGAGAGGTTGACGTTATTTGTTTCAGTAATATAACAGGAATTATCGTTAATGTAAAGTAATGTTCTAAAGAACTATACAGGAGACAAGATAGCTTATATACATGTCGTCAGTGATAAAAAGTAGTAAAGAGCCCAGCAGAGAGAGGAGAGGAGAGGAGAGGAGAGGAGAGGAGAGAGAGAGGAGAGGAGAGGAGAGGAGAGGAGAGGAGAGGAGAGGAGAGGAGAGGAGAGAGAGGAGAGAAGAGAGAGAGAGAGAGAGAGAGAGAGAGAGAGAGAGAGAGATAAGAGAGATATCCTTAACAAGAAAAGAGAAGACAAAACATAGCAACTGCACTCACTGAGCCTGTGCTTGGTCTGCGCCTCCCGCATGTTCTCGGGGTGGATCAGGTGGTACCACGAGACGCCGGCCAGCGAGGAGCGGTTGTAGCCCAGGTAGAACTCGCCGCTGGAGGGAGTAGAAAGAACGGTTAGAATAACAAGGCGAGAACTTATTTTGCTAGATATCTACGAGTGATGAAGTCGTAGATGTGTATTTATAAGATCTAAAATTAAATGAGGTAGAATTCGCCGCTGGAAGGAGGAACAAAACGGGTTAAAATAACACTGCTGATGCCATATTGTGCTAGTTATCTGTGTGGGTCGAAAGTGTCTTAAAGTCATACTGTTCCCTGTCGATAAGAATTAAAGCTATATTATTTCCTGCCCGTGTAGTTATCATGAACAATTTCAAAACATCCGGTGATCTCTTCACTGACTCTTTATTAATGTAGAAAAAGGTATGAATGAGAATGTATATCTTTACAGTGCAAGAAGTGTACATTCTCATCCATACCCATCGTTACGTTCGTCGAAATGATCTCTGTTTACTCTTCATGGGTGAATCTCCGTCATAAAAAGAGTGAGAAAAGTCAAGTGAAACAGACGTATTTCCTTCGCCTCCTTTCTCCTATTACGCCAAACACTCTTTCACCTCCTACCCTCCCTCTCTCCTTTCCTCCTCCTTTCCTCTTCCTTTCTACAATTGAAATCCCTTTCGACTTCCCCCCGTCCCCTCCCCTTAGCGTTCCTTCTTTTCCTTCTCCTTCCCCTCTCTACCTTCCCTCCTTCTCCTCCTCTTCCTTTCCCACTCCTCCTTCCCTCCTCTCAACTTCCCTCCTCCTTTCCTCTCCTCATTCCCCATCCCCTCTCCGTCTCCCTTCCCATCTCCTTCCCTCCTTCCCTCCTCCCCATTCCTCTCTCCACTTCCTTCCCTTCCCCCACCCCTCCTTCCCTCCCCTCCCTCCTTCCCTCCCTCCCCTTCTCTCTCCCCTTCCTTCCTTCCCCCACCCACCCTTCCGTCCCTCCCCTCCTCCCCCTTCCCTTCCCTCTCCCACCCTCCCCTCCCTCCCCCGGGTAATGTCCCAGCGTAATGACCGTCGGGAGATCAGGCCTCTTTTTATCGCGTCTTTATCGTCCAATCACAGTAAGAGTTCCCATCAATCAGCTGATTCGACTTTCGATGGGAAAATAATGACACATTGAGCTCTTTCTGGGCGCCTGGGGTGGGCTGGTGTGAGGGGGGGGGTAGGGGTAGTGGGTGGCTGGGTATGGTGGTTGTGTAGTGTGTTATGTCTGTGTTGTAATGACGTGGTGGTTGTGGCGTGGTGCCGAGTGCGGTGTTGTAGCGTGAAGGGTCTGTGTTGTGGTGACTCGGTGATGTTACTGTGGTGTGTAGTGCAAAAGGTGACATAGGGGATGTAGCGTGGCGTTGAGTGTGGTTCGTAGCGTAAATGTTCTGAGCTATGGTGATCGTAATATAGTGTCAAGTGCGGCGTAGAGTGCGAAAAGGCCTGTGTTGTGTTGGCGTGGCGACTCGTGTGCCTTCAAGGGACTGGTCGCTGATATGGATCTTTGCTTCAGGAATAAGTAAACAAAAAGGAAAGAAAAGATAAAGACAAACGAAAAACAAACGAAAGAAAGAAATGCTCGTGAGGAACCATCCTTATTTTGATCACTTGACAAACACTATTCAAAAAAAGAAGAAGAAAAAAAAAATGAAATGAAGGTTCATTCACAAAGCCACCATTTCAATTACCATTCAATCCATATATATTTTCATTCATAAAAAGTTCACACGCGCGGGGTTGGTTCCCTTCCGCCAAAATCTATTGTCGTCGAGATTCTTACGAGTTAAAAACGTGCTAATTCGCGCAGCCTTCGAGAACAGCTGATTCCCCATTCACGGAGCCGGACGAGGCTGTAATTTTAGATTTTCGATATGTCTTAACTTTCCCACTACACGGCTTGTTAACTGATTGAGTCATGATTACACACAATGAGAGCCGTATACTGCGCTGTGTGATATGATATGCGCATTTATGATGTCTATCTTTAAGGTCTGATTTCGCGTGGGTCATCTTAGTTTGGGAGATTTTTGTATTTGTAAACGATATGAAGCCTTATTCATTCCATGAACAGGGTCGTAAATTGCCTATTTCAGCCAAGTCAAAAGCACTATCAACGTTTTTCGAATCTA